CGCTGTTTGGCAAATCGCACAAATCACCACCGGATATCGTCAAAAATTTGAAGGACTCACTGACACAACTGGAAAGATTGGAACGGGGGGACAAAAAAATTGAAAAAGTTGCAGAAGAAGTGAGCAAATCATTACAGGCAATCAAAGGTATCATTTATGGTCAAGAGAGTCAGGAGCCACACATGGAACAGGTTATTTAGCGAGAAATCTTGGTCCCTTCTTTTTTTGCGTTTTCCCTTTGACATAGATCCAGAATAAGTCCAAAATAAATGTGTCCTTTCAGGATCTTAATATTTGTTTTAAAAAATTTCATTTGCATTTATCCTAGACGAATACGATTTCTTGGTTATGCTGTTGGAATTTGTATGTTTGTATAATGTTGGTGGAGTTAAAGCTCGGATGATCGAAACCAAAGTAGACCTACGTTCTGTAAGTAATAGTTTTTACAGGTAGCGCAACTGGCTCAGGAGTCGTATAATTCATCCATTCTTCCGATGCTCATCCAGAACTTGATAAAGCTTGACTTCGAAGCAAAAAAGGATGTTGCACAAATTTTCAACAATCTCCTGCGTCGACAGATTGGAACACGTTCACCGACGGTGGAATATGTGCATACACGACCACAGATTCTTGAAGCACTTGTTAAAGGGTTAGTTCTTGACGTCTGCCATTTCAAATAGTATCAGTGAAATTCATCAAGTTTTGTCGAGTACATCGTTAGTTGCAGTCATATGATTATAGATGAAAGATTATAGATGAATTGCATTATTTGTTACGACAAACATAGGAATGGATGAATACGGAAATAAAGTTTCTTGAAAAACGCAGAAACGAATTTTTTTTCTTTTTTTGTAAGTAACAGGTGTTTTCGATGTTTGTTTTAACTAGGTTTGTACTTCGTTTGTATAAAAAACCACGAGAGTTTTTTATATAAACATGAAGCGGAAGTGGAAAATTCAGGCGAAAGTAGGATTTCCGTACTGATTCCCTCAGTGCCTTGTTGGGAATTATTGTATGGAGTCATTTTTGTTCTAAATTACGACTGACATGAGTAGTGGCAGAAGGATATGTTTTCTTTAACAAGGCAGGTAGATTGAACAAATAGGAATCGATGTTTTCACACAATTTGGAAGTTGATCGTAATGATTCGTTAACATTATTAATGATTTGTTCTATTAGTAAATCCCAAAATTATCTAATTTGCAGTGATAGGCATTTTTCTTCTGCAGGTATGAAACTCCTGAAATAGCTGTTACTTGTGGCAGTATGTTGAGGGAATGCATCCGGCATGAAAATCTTGCAAAATTGGTTCTTTATGGCAATGATTTTTACAAATTCTTCAGCTATGTTGAGGTTAGGTTTCTGCTTTTGCGAAATTGCTTTTACTATCGGTTGATAACTTCTAACGTTTCAAAATATCGATCGGTAGTCCATTGGTAATCGGTGTCTTCTCTCATATATGGCATGAGCTTTTAAGCGAACAGGTTCCGAACTTTAATGAAATCTCACTTTACCACTTCATTTTAATACAGATAGTGAATAATGTGCGAGCAAAGTAATATATATTTCCTTCGGAAACCACGGTAAATCTGATAAAATCTTGCCAATTTATTAATATCTAAACTAAATGAGTATAGTAAATGAAATTACTTGTGAATGATGTTATTGTTATTTGGCTTGCTGAACATGCATCGGCTAAAAAAAAAGAAGCGATTCGTTTTGGCAGTTGGTTCTTTGGAATTTTTACTATGGACAGGGTCATCAATGAGATGAAGTCTTAGTAATGAAATGAAGTTCCTAAACTATTTATTGGTTGAACTTCTGAATTAAAACCAAATCATACCTTCAATGACACGTCTCTTTGTTTCAGGTATCTACCTTTGACATCGCTTCAGACGCATTTTCGACATTTAAAGAATTAGTCACGAGACACAAAGCACTTTGTGCAGAATTTCTGGATAGCAAATATGACGAATTTTTCCAAGCCTATCAGAATTTGCTGAATTCAGAAAATTATGTTACAAGAAGACAATCTTTAAAGGTCTGTATTGTTATCATGGAATTTATGAATTATCAGCATGATTGTCTATAATTTAATATAAAACTGCAGAGAAATACTTTGACCGATGTTTAGTAGTCTAGTGATTTTTATTTCTTTCAGTTGTTAGGCGAGTTATTGCTGGATCGTCACAATTTTAATATAATGACGAGATATATTAATAATGCCGACAATCTCAAGCTCATGATGAATATGCTGAAGGAGAAAAGTCGTAGTATACAATTTGAAGCATTTCATGTTTTTAAGGTCCATTTTTAATTCTTAATATTTTTAAATTGCTTCGAAGAGAAGCGGAATTCAAGAAGTTTCTTGTCTCCTGGTAAATATTTTAGGGGACTCTTCATTAAGCAAGCTATTATGCCTACATCGAATTTATAGCTTTTCATATAGCAAACTCAAAATATTCCTCAAAATATTCCTCAGGGGGTTAAAGGCAAAAATAAAAGGTTTGAAATACTTTGATTATAATTTGCTGCATAACTTTGTTACCATTATGGCCACGATCAGTAAAGATTTATTTCAACGAGCAAATTATTACCACCCATAGATAGATTGAATCTTTCATTTTTCTAGGTTTTTGTGGCAAACCCGAACAAATCGAAGGCTGTTGCCGATATTTTATTGAGGAATAAGGAGAAACTGGTCGAGTTCCTTACTAATTTCCATACTGATCGCACAGAAGACGAACAGTTCAATGATGAGAAGGCTTATCTCATCAAGCAAATACAAGATATGAAAGCATGAGCTTTTTTTTCTTCACGTGTGTGTAAAGCAATTTGTTTTCATTTTTATTTAACTGAATGAAATGCTTTTCTAATTGCTCCATGATCTTATCAGGCTACCATTGTTTCCTTGCTTATAATTTCACTTCCTATTGTGATTAAATTTATAGTGAGATATCAGGATTCTCAGGATTATACGTATAATTTCTGGACAGGAGTGTTTACTTGAAGTTTTCATTAATAATGGTTAACGTGAGAGGTTGTTGGCTTTTCATCTTTAAATAAGAAAAAAGAACAAGATTGCACAGCAATGATATTTCTGCATAAATGTCTTTTCCTGTCCGAATTCGCTTAAATATAGAGAGGACTTGAATTATTGCCTGTAAATGATCTTTGGATATGATCTGGGAGCCTGTGCAGTTTTTATATTTTGCCTCAATTCTGCTCATATTATATTGTGCTGTATATGGAATAATTAGGCGAAATACTTTTTTAGTATCCCCCTGTCCAAGTTCCATTCCTCTAATTTAGGGGATAAAATTTCTCTCTCCAAACATAATAAGTCTTTCCGGAAATTTATTTCCCCTTTACGTTAAGTTATGCCTGTCAGTATGTTCTCATTCTCAGTAAACTTCCTCGATTTAGATTCAGCGTCATCTAGTATTTTCTTATTTTGTTTCTTAGTCTCTCCACTTTTTCATTTTGTTGCTACACCAGCTCGACCTTTTTACGTTTTGTAGAAATATTGTTCCGTATGTTACCTCAGATCTTTGATTAAATCAGTTGAGTTTCTTTAGAACTTTCCCTGATTCCTAATTGTTATTTCTAAGTGACAATGATTTCCTTTGATATGATTGAAATTGGAATCGTCACAGGATAGCTTTGTGAGACTGAAATCTACAAAGTACAGTGCACAGTTAATTCAGTTCCTTAGAGTGTTCTCTCTACCGTTGATGAACTAGTAGTAATGTTCATTGGTATGCTACATGTGTTATGTCATTACGCGCAGGAATTTCTGTTCTTTTTTCTTGTTAAGCAGGTAAAATGCACGAATTTTGTCAAAAATTCCGCGCATCCGTTATAATTTTTCGATTACCACATACTTGACCCTTATTTTTATAGTACTTAACAAGGACAAAGTTCCCCAGACGTTGAAGCAAACTCGTTTAGTATTCTTTATCACGTACTGAATCAGAGTTGGTAGTATCTGAGACTCTAAGGAAACCTTGGTCAAGCACCTTCATTTTTAATAGAATGACAATAAAAAGGATTTTACTGACTTAACCAGCACGTAAAAAGAGTCATAAATGGAGAGGGCCTGTGCATAAGAGTAGCCTACATCTCTTAGTTTAAAAAATAAATATGAAACTGAGGAAATTTCAGTGGTTGCCTTAGTCTCATAAAAGTCCAGCTCTCGCGATAAGAAACGACATCAGCTGGCATAGCTCTTACGTTGCTGACATTACGAAATGTATGGAAAAAGTGCATTAACCGGTTCGCAATGTCGAGGATAGAAATGTTAATTATGAAATCGGCTAGTTTTAACCAACAATGGAACTTTGAGTGAAGTGTTTTTGAACATTAAAATGTTTAGCCTAACGACGTGATGTTAATGACATCACGTCGTTGGGCTGCAAGGGGATTACATCACGGGACTGATTCAGCATAGGAGTAACTCGAAGTTCTGTCAAAATTACAAGAACTTTTTAGATGGAATTAAAAGATGAGATGAGGAAGGAAAGACGCTATCATAAACGCTGGCATAAGATACAGTGATGGCCAAAGATCAGGAATTGTTTTCTAAACTAGAAATACCTGGAATTAATCAAATAAAGTGTAAAAATAAGCACTGGGACATTCACAAACGTGTAATTCAAGGGGCTGCGAATCATTGTTGAAAGCATAACTTCTAAAAGATTCGAAATGTAATATATATGAAAATTTGAAAACTGATGTAGTGCCACTACTGGGATTTCATCACTTGTTTTTCTCCAGCTCATCTGTCGGTTATCGTCTTCGGAAATGACAAAACTTGCACTGCAGATATGTGAGAAAAAAAATCCAAAAACCTACGAATCTCGGCAAATTTTATTATGAAGCGATGAAATGGAAATGTGTGAAGAATTAAGCTCACGTACAAGTCCTGGGAACAACAAATTCAGTAACTCAACCACCAAAACTACATATGTCTTTGAGCGGGTAATCATTTCGACGGCTCATCAGGATGAGTCAAATGCAAATGTATCGGAAACCTGAAACAAACGAAAACTGAGAGATCATCAAATCAAACTGAAAAAATTATTTGCTAGGAAACCCACTTTTGCACCCTGCAGTTCCATTTGTTGGTCGACAATCTGAACCAGCTCTGATGGTGATGGCACTCGTCCACTTTCAAGCTTTGACCATATCTGTTCATCGCCCAAATAAATCTCGAACGCTCCTGTTGACATAAGAGAGCCTGAAGTAAAGAACAAACTAAAATAAGAACGAGAATTCTATTCCATATTTAATTTTGAATTCAAATAAATAAGCTCCCCGAACATAAAGTTACTCTTAAAAAAATCAGCTCAGAGATTTCCATCATTTCATTTCCAAAAAGATCAGTTCGCCAGTGAACACAAATCAGTTTTACTACCGAATCATTTTAAAACTAACAACTCAAAAAGCATGCAAAGGTGTGTCATTTTGATCAAAACACCTGAACAAATGTATCAAATAGTAAGTGATAGAGTAATATCGAAATTCCAATTTCTCAAAGATTGTTGTCGTTAAAACCAAACAACTAACTTTCAATAGTGTTAGAAAGAAGAAACAACATCATGCATGATGATACTTTATTGCTCAGAGCCCACGAGAAAATGCGCGGTGTCGGCTGTCCGATCGATGCGAATGGATCTTGCCCCATTACAATCAATACAATGAGCACTATCTTCCCCAATCCAATAATCTGAAACATATTTTCTGCAACTTTTGAAAATTTTTATTCAAAAATGTAGCACCACTGATAGATCGTTGATTGTATAGTTCTATTACTACTAAGTTAGTTTTTAAAATTCTAGTATGGTCCGAAACCACTTAACGAACATGATCAAAAACTTAACTTGCAAAACATTTCGTCGAAATTTAAATACCAAAGCCCAATCAATACTAAACAAGGATTCGCTAAATTTGTAGACCACGCACTTGATTCATAAAATTAGCTAGTCACTGCTTATTATCGGGCTTCTGCTGCTTAAGAAGTACGATGAAGTTCAATCTTTTTTCAGCCACATTTTAAATAATATTGACTTTTAGGCAGTACATGTAAAATGAAACAAAGAAATGATTTCCAACCTGTGCCAAAACATTTTTCCATGCTTTAGGTGAGTAATTTGCACCATCAATTCTCATTGAAGGATACTTCTCATGTATATAGCGAGAGAATTCATCAAATGCTTGCCGATAACCACATGAAACACTGCAATTATATGTTTGAAATCATAAAAGTAAGTGCCTTTCATGCAGGTATGATTCCTTTCCTGATATGAACTCAGCATGAACACAATGTACCATAATTTTACTGCATAAGATCAGGTTAATTGTAAACAAGGCATGCTGAAGTTAAAACCTGGCCAACTCTGTACTAAATAAATGGAAGTTTGGTGAAGATTATTTTTTGCAAAATTCTCCGAAATCGAAATGTAAATTTAACCAAAATAAAAATTTCATGCTAGGAAGTTTCTTAGTAGTATGTGGCGGTGGAGTAAACTGAGCTGATCCTTGCCTAACTCGAATGTGGTCGGCATCTTCCAACTTTTCACCAATTTTCTAGAACAGAAAGTTTTTTTGAAAATGCGGAAAAAAAATGGATCCAATTTATGATACAGGGAAGAAAACAGTCTGAATATTGACCCTGTAACTTGTAAAATAATTTGCCAACTGCTTCGCAGAAATATGTAAAGAAACCAACCTCATCATCGAATTCCTTTTTAAATACCTCATCGTCGTCATATTCATCTTTGGAATGTCCGTAGATATCTCGTAAGGATAAAAGCAGAGCTATGCCTAGGATAATCGTACCAATTTGGTCCGTAATCATCTAATACAACCTGAAATCACACTTCTATTCTTTAGTAGTCCAGCTAATACCCCAATTCACATACAAAAATAATTGGGTACAAACGAATAAGATGCTCATATTGCGGAGTTATATTAAAAGCAATTTACAGAACAAGGAATTATCGAGGATGGTAATGGCAGAACACATCTAACGTGCCATGATTCAGATGCGGATGTGTGTGTGTGTGTGTGTGTGTATGTGTGTGTGTGTGCATCACGGAATGAGAGGTATGTGAAGGAGAGATGATATTGCAGGTAAAACCAATCAAACCTGCTCTCCAACTACTCATGCGAAAGAAAAGGCAGTACCTCGGACAAAACATCCGAGAGCTAGAGCCCCGAGAACCGCGTTAAATCCGGCTTCATGTTGAAATCGAGGTAACAAACATATGTGGCCCGCATTTGTACTTTGTTGCTGGATATTTGGTGATAAGGTAGGGGCGTTTTCAGCGGTCAAAAGTCATTGCACTGTCAGAGATTGATAAGAGCTTTGTGATCTGATGTTGCAGTCAACATGCATATATTATACATTACTTTGGTTAATCCTAAGGAAGTTCTCTCTCTCTGTGATGTGAACTGTAATATTTTGAAATGACAATAACATTACTTATTCCTATTAATGGATTATATTTGACGTTTTTGTTATTATCCCCGAATGATTTGACCATCTTTTTTTTCGAGTTTTGGAAAAATAATTTCCTCACTGATCATTAGATTGACGCTGCGAACGGGAAGGTCATGGATCGTGAACGACGCGAACTGCGAAGTTGGTCAATAGAACCACGCGATCGACGTGTGCATGCAGTAAGCCCAATGCATTTGCAGGAAGGTCGAATTCTCAACTCATTGCTTCATGAGGCTCATAATATTTCCACTTCAAGCAATAAAATAAATGCTCATCAAGGTTTGTAGCTTTTCATTCTTTCCATTTTAAATTTAAATTTGCTCTTCTGTATGGAAATATTATCTTAGGTTCTTATCTTTGAATTAGCTATTGGGACATATCAGTGCTTCGGTTGGGTCAGATAATAATGCTTGCTAACTCACATGAATGCCAAAGCGTTTCTCATTAGCACGCTGGCTTTTCCAAATGTATTTGGGAAATATGGAATTTCGAACAAGAATGAAATTTTCTTGGCTATTATAGTTGGAGGAAACTGAAATAATTGGGCTTTTCTCTCCGATTTATTTCATTTTTTTCTGTCGGGTTCATTCCATTCAACTGCGCCACTTGTTTTTTGAATAAATTTCCAAATGATATTAATTAGATTGAGTTAGATCAGTTCTTTTTGATATTATCTACATATTATTATTGTTTGTAGTGGATGACACTGAAATTGATGGAGTGGAAGATACCAAATTACAGCAGATGATTAGCAAATACCAGTCACAAGTAATTCAGCAACAGCAACAGCTGTCAAATCGAACTAATCATGAACTTATCAAGTAAACACCTTCTAAATGTGTCTTCAGTTTTTCTGGCCTTGAAAGATCTTATATCTGACGGAAAGGAAATTCTTATGCTTATTTCCAATTGCTTCGATTCTTCTAGGAGCAAAAATGCAAGAAGTTGGTTATTTTTACTTTATTAGGCACGTGGTATTTTTAAAATTTCATCGCAATAGCAGGCAGCAACGGCCAGCTTATTTTTCTATTAATAGGATCCAGCTTATAGAAGATACATTGTGCTAGTTTATTTTTGGAAGTTGTGCTCTTTTATTGCAGGAGCTTTGCAACTTCGTCTGCAGCCGCTGCTCAACAGCAAATGCCATTGATGAGTCATTCACAGCCATGTCTTATAGCAATCAACGACCAGAAAAATGAACTGTGTGTTTGCTAAGTTATTTTGATAATAATTTCATTTTAATTAATAGCACTTACGACTCTGCAGCTCACTGCTGTTTTGCTTAATCCGGTTGCTAGTAAGACGAGTTTACAGCCCATGGAAAATTATAAGACTGCGTAATACTGCTAAGTATTGTGACATGATGAACTCTTTCCACTGAATTGCATTATTAATTTATCATTATCCTAAAAGTGTAAACAAGTTGAGATTTCAGAGTCACAGAATCTGCATCGCCAGTTTATCATCCCAATCCACCATTTGATGGGATCGAACATACAAATTTAAAAGCACAACTAATTGCTAATCAAAATTTAATTCGAGCATTACAAGATGAAAATTCTGCCCTGAAGCAACAATGCGATTTCTTAACTGTCAAAGCCAATCGTCTACAACAGGTGCTTTTCGTATTTAATTTTTTTCATGTCTTTGAAGTTTGACTTCTTAGGAGTTATTCGTTTTTTATTATTCATTTTTTAGGAGTTATTCATTCCACTTCCATTTCTATCACTTGTGGTACAAGCATTTTCTGTCGGTAAATCATTAGTTGGCTAGTTTTAATAGCCTTCATTTTTCTAAGCTTAGATGTTTTAGCACTAATCTTTGGTTTTTAAAGTTGGAAAAAGCCTATGAGACTATCGAAAAGGAGTATGAAAATTTGACGGCACAGAAAGAGAGGCAGGACAACCTTGAGAAAGCGGCACGTATGAAAATGGAGCAACAGATATCGAGGTCTGCTCAGAGTTGATGAAACAGTGAATTCCTTATGTTTGAATTTTTATTTTCATATGTCTTGTTTTTTGGATTATAGTGTTATACTTCCTTTTTTGTTACAGTCTTACATAGGTAACTTTTATCATTATTCACTAAAAATAGGTATGCTTCTGAAAACGAAATGTTGCGAGCGAAAATTGCGGAATTAATACGAAGAATACAGGCGGAAGATCAGTCAGAACAAATTAACAAGCTTAATTTGTTGCTCAATGAAATCATCCCCCAGAGTTTGTTCATTTCTGATATGCCTTGAATCTGTGTCTTTGGGAAAGATATCTGAGTAGATTAGAATAATTCACTATAGTTTTACAACTCTATTGCTTTACAGATAACTTATTTTCTTTTTTTCCTGTTGTAGTTGAAGTTTTTCCTATTTCCTTTCGAGTGAGTGAAATCTCTAGTTTTTTATAAAACTTGCATTCTTCTTCAGATAAAGAATTGATGACATGTAAGGAGCGACAGAAAATGGATATTGAAGCATTGGAAGTTACTTTGAAGGATCAAAGGAATCACATTCAAGTTTGCTTTTCACTTTTTTTTTTTTGGTGGGTCATTCTTTTTTTAGTTTCTTCTTTTTAGATTTTGGAGAAGGCTCTGGGAAATGCACAAGAAAAAGCATGGAGGAAGGAAAAAGAAGTGGAGGAGCTCACAGAGAAGGTAGAAAGGGCCGAGTCGTTGCAAAAAGCTGTTGAAGTTTGTTACTCTTTTATTGTCACTCCAAAAATGTTTCTATTCTTACTTCCTAGTGCACTTGGCTTTAAGCAAGCTTTAAATTCCACAATTACTCTCAGAAATCAATGTTTGATAAGCGATCTCGAGAAGATGAATGGAACCGTGAAAGGGCACAACTTGAGATGGAAAATGCGCAACTGAAAATGCAGTTGGCTAAAGAAAGTGTTTCAGTTGGAGTGAAAAAGGGTTCGAGTGCTAGAAATCCAGAAAGTGATGAGTTGACAAAACTCAAAAAAACTCTTCATGCGAAAGGTCCTTTTTCACAGATTGAGCAGCAGAAATATATGTCGTAATTCTCTTAAGCCTGGAAATTTCTTATCAGAGATAAAGGAAAGGTTTTTATTTTTGTGTGCGTGTTTCATCACTTTAAGATTTTCCCTGTTCAGAGGATATTATTGCTCAGCTGGAAAAGAATGTTATTGAACTAGAAGCCAAATTTCACGAAGAAATGCAGCGAAATAAAATGGCAATAGCTACACAGTCGGATACACTGTGAGTTTACCATCTCTGAAATCTTCAGCTTCATGACATATCGGAAGACGTATCCATTTTTCGTGAGTCTTCATCTTAATCCAAATCTTATATTTGTCGATTTTACTAAAATTTTTCAAGCTCGGGCAAACTTAAAAAGATGGAAGAAGAAAAAAGTGAAAAAGATCGTAAGATAGCAGAATTAACGGAAGAGAAAGAAAGACTATCCGAAAAACTGGAAGACGAGCGCAAAAGTTCAGAAAGCAGAACAAGTTTGTTGGAAAGAGAAATTGATCGCATTAGGAGTAGTGATGATCGCAGGTGTGTTGTTACTTTTTATTTACTAGCATTAATTTCAAGATTTGAACTTTTATTGTAGTCCGTCCGTAACTTCTGCACTTATTGTCTCATCAACGTGACTTCTAATTTTTTTTTCGAATTTTGTTTTTAAACTTATCGTATCTAGGTTTCGCGAAGATATGGCGCGCATGGAACAAATGCGTCTGAAAATTGCTGATAGACGCTGTTTTACAACAGAACGTTCCCGTAACCGGTATTTTTTTGTGATTTATACAAATTGGATTAAAGGCAAATTTTATTCATATGCAACCTTAGTTTTTTAAGCTCTAAATCACAATGCAGTGTTAAACTAGTACATTTGCGAAGATAAGGATTGCACAGTAGCAGCTTTTATTTGTTACTTTTATTTAAAGGACCTGTTCAAGCAGTACTGTTAACATTCGTTACAATTTCATCGTAAATTGTATATTCTTTCGCAATCCTTTTATTGTAATAATAACCGTAATATTCAAAAGTTTTAAGCTACCAACATAGTTCTGGTTTATCAAAGCCTAATGTCTAGTCTTTCGGCACTGTTACCTTCTATTTATATCAGTGGTTCCCAATTTTTTCTTGACAAGGGACCACTTTGGCTTATTTATTTGCAGCAGGAACCATAAGGTAAAATGAAAAATCTTGTATTCTTGGGAAGTATTTTACACAATGTAACGCAGATTGTAAATTCCTCTTTATTTCCACCTTAAACCAATTAGATGAAAGACAATATTAACGTCACATAATCATTAGGAATTACAAAACACTAACGTATAATGCCAATCACAAAAATATCGCTACGAGATAATTTTTATGACACCAATCTCGAGAATAAAAGAAAGAATGTCCTGCTCTCTGCATGTATATCCGTCAAGGATTAGTTTTAGATTACAAGAATTAGCGCTTTTGTTAGCTTATACGGACAAAGCACTCTTTGTTAGCGCACATTGATTTTTAATCTTAGTTACGATCCAGCATAGTATATGCAAATTAGCATTTCACTACATATTCACTTATGATTCTGTATATGTTTCTTCCGCACGGAACTTCGCGTCTATTCATGACACAAAATTAGAAATAAATTTTGTTAAATTGAAAGCAAACTTTGATCAAAACTTCTAGTATACTAGTTAAATTTAGAGGAACATCATAATACAAAAAAAAGGAACATACATTTTAATAGCCCTCGTGAACCATATTTTAGTTCTCGCGGACCACTGATTGGGAAGCACTAATTATACGAATGGACTATAATTCCATTAGCTTACTGCACCTAAAACTGACTTTAATCATAATACTGTCTAGATTATAGTCCTAACATCCGATTGTAATTATTTCAGATGCGTACATCATGGGCGAACATCATCCGGGACACGCGCCGGATTCGTTCATGTACATTTGAGAGCAAATTCAGCAACAGCACTTCTACCTACCGACTTGCATCTTTCACCAGATGCCCTTCCCACATCATCCGACATACCATTAGATCTGTCAAATGATAGTAGTGCTACTTCTGCTACTTGTTCAACCAGCAAAGCTTTAATAACGTTCCCTCATTCCTCATCATGTCAAGAGGAGATATTCGCGGATCAAAACGCTGCTTCTACTGATGCGAAGGGAATATACGGCGCAAGTCTGAATGGCTATACACGACCAATTTCAATACCACCGCATTATGATTTGACGTTTTCTGATAATGAAGGTATATATTCTAGAATTTCGAATCGACCAGTTGAAAAATCAAATGCTATCGTTGCCGCTACCATCGTTAATGAAGAACTTTGCCGAAAACAGATTTCAGCCGAGGAGATCTGGGATGTTTAAGTTCTTGAAATACTTTTGTAGGGATGTGTAAAATTTTCTTTAGATGATATCCTAATAAGTCGATTCTAAGCTTTGCTATACGTGGTTTCACAGCATAACTTTTTTACTAGGTAAGGGAACGTGCAAAAAGTTGTAATAAAAACTCGCCTTTTTATGCAAAAAAAAGCTTTAGCTGATTGAAAGAGAATATTTTTGCCTTATCAGCAAACGTTTTTGGATTGGTAATCATGAATCAGTAAAACTTCACGTGTTAAAGAAGCAAACTTATGTTGGCTTTGATCGTATGGACGCAAGTGATTGAAAACAGATGTAATTGCCATCCGAAATAGTTCAGCATTTTGAATGTATAAAGCTTTAGTTAGAAAAGTTTTAGTTCTCCCGTGGAATCAGCTGGATCCATAAAATCTTTAGCGAGATAAATCTGACTGAATTATGAATACTTGAATTATTAATCGCAACATGTCGTAACGATAGTTTGCGAATTTCTTGATCCTACGTATTACGAAGTGTTTCATGTGTATGTCTGCGTCGTCCGGTGTAAATCGCTCATATGTTTACTTTATTTATTTTTCATGCGTTATATCTTTGAAAGAATAAGCCAAGAACAGATTTTTTCCTCTAGTATTTTTCAAAATCATGGTCATTCTTACTACTTTTGGACTATTTCCTGTTCTTAATAGTGTTACATTGCCGTAATAGGTTTGTTTTTATAAAATTTGTACTATAGGATTATGCAGTAATCCGAGGATTCATATGTATTTCATTTTTAAACAGATGGACTGAGAAAAAAGGATAAAAAATTTCCTCAGTGTGAAATCCTGATCATGAATTTTGGTCAGGATTTCGTTTAAGATTTCTTGTCTTTGTTGAATCATTCTTTTTATATGTGCCGTCTCTTTAGTCTGCTAAAGCATCGTAATTTTCATGGACGTAACACCGATTTTGATAAACGTTGTGCATTCATATAATCGAATTCTTTGAAGAAAGGAAGCTAGAGGAAGAGAATTCGCAGAGAGAATTCAGTAACTTTTAGATTAAGATTTGGAAAATATGAAATCGATTTTATCATCGTTCATGGAAACAAATTCTTGTCTTGACGACAAATGATCCTAACAAATGATATGGAACAGAACGAGATGTATTTATGAGCAAATGATTTGTTAGTTTCATCTTTGTTTTAATACTGCGGGTTGCTACTTGACCATTGTTATGCAGTTTTTCATCTTTCTTCATCTTCAAGTGCTTTGTTCCTCCTCATCTTTTCTTTCCATGGATACCTTAGTTACGTCTCCCTTTTGTTGGGCACTGTACATATTGGAAATGAGCAGTGAATTAAAGTTTGCAACTTCTGATGCATCACTCTTATAAAATGCAAAAGAAATAAAGTTGTTTGGTATTAACATAAGAGTAACTACATGAATATAACGAAGATAGCGACAGAATTGCATTAGGCAAGGGTAACTGCATGTAAATGACGAGAGAACTGTATTAAGATAAAGGTAGTTGCATGAAGGTAACGAGAGAACTTTTATGTTGATTACCTGAGATAGGTATCCAAATAGATTTGACAAGCTTCTCGTTTCAAACCTAAGTACGTCTACATTCGCAAATGGCGAAAGGTGGGGAGATTCTCGCCATTTCCATTGACAGTTTTATTTATCAAAGATTCTTTGCACTCATTTCAGAGTTTGGAGAGTTGTTCTAGGCAAAAGTTGAATTGTTACCGTGACATTTCTTAATATCAGTTCAAGGCAACTTAGTTCTTCCATCGGATGTTTTTTGATTTTCTTTTTCAAAGGATATAAATTTGATGGATCAGTATGAAGAAGCGATTGTATGTGTAGCTGATATGTGCTTTATAGAAAAATGCCGAAATATCAGCACACTCAAATTTATGAAGACTTTTTGGATTCCATTTTTTGAATTCTGAATTCCGAGCGGGTCTGAAGTTTAAGAATTTTTCTGAACGATCAGTGACGTTTTTTTCTTCGCATCATCACGCTTTAACACATAAGCATTGTTTATTGTTACATGTAATTTGATCGGTTCGCCGACCACATCAGGCCACCAAGCAATGCTCATACCAGAAAGAACATTACCCAAACCATCAGCAAAACCCTGCTTTATGGGAAAACATTTCGTCAACATTTCCATCGCAGTGATAGAGTAATGAAAGTGTCATATATGAGCTGCTCTTGGCTACCCATTCATTTCATCACCTCCTTCATTTTTATCACTAATGCCGTTTGCAACGGTAAGGTTAATGGTAAGTTTCTTCGAATAATTTTTTTCAAATATTTCATCACATTTAAGTCAGAAGAAATATCATGCACGAGACAGAAAGCTGGCTATCACACAGCAGCTGCGAAGGATTCTCTCACAATGCTTGAAGGATTTTCTCTCAAAACATATTCAAAATGTTGGTAGTTTTAAGTCAAAAAAGAGAAGTTTTTTATGAGAAATTTTGGATTATTTTACAAAAGCTCTACATGAAGTACGGTCATAGGTGTGGGAACGAATCATTTGGATCCATGTAAATGTCGATCTGCGAATTTTGGAGTTGATGTTTTAGCTGGTGAATTAAAAAGTCCCGGTTATCCTATCAATTACTGTAACAATTTAAACTGTAAATATGAGGTTTGTGGTCCTTTTAAATATGGAACGTAAAATTCTATTGGAGTATTAAAAGGATAAGGAATAAAAAGGAAAGTGATCTGGTAACATTATAACACACGATTTTTTATTTTGTTCCCTCCTCAAATTTGTATTTTAGAATTCTTCGAATGTGTCTGCAGAAAGCTTCTCAACAAATCATTTTCAGATAGATGCAGTCCCGGGTCAGTCAATTCATTTGTCGATCGTTTCTTTTGAAACTGAATTACGACATGACTTACTTGAGATTCATCAAACATTCATCTTTGCGAACAATCAGTATTCGGCCCGTATTGCCATGTATGTAATTCGAAGAAACCTTCATATTTTTGGTTTTTTTTCTATTTTCAGAGGAGAGGATTGTGTATATTGTTGCTTCTTTTTGCCATATTCGCTCTTCCCGTAAAATTCTCTTGTACGTTCGTTCCGATAGAGTTAAACAACATAGAAACGCCAAAGAACATATACCTTAAAAGTTTTTAGTAAATTGTTAAAACACTGTTGCATATTTGCCAGTAAGTATTTGCCTGAAGATTGATGTGGATAACTAATAAGCGATATAATGAACGATGAAATACGCCTTGTAAGTGCTAATGACGATTAGCTGATAACATGTGAAATAGAGGCTAAAGGCTAAAGAATAAGCGATAAGAAAATTATTTTCAATTTCTTATTTCCTCAACAATTCAATAAAAAGGTTGTTAAACTTGGAAAAAACTCAGGTTATCCGGGAGAGACATCGGCTGGCCATCATTTGCATCTTCTACCAGCAGTGGATTCATCCTGAAATTCATTACCGATAGTACAGAAACATTCGGTGGATTTCATGCTAGCTTCAACAGGATCAATGTCACTTCATCAAGTACGCTATGTTTATAATTTCCAGTTTTCCTTTGCTTCTACAAAAGACCAATGTTTTTTCACAGCTTACATGAGCGGGGGAGAAGGGAGACCAAAGAGACCAGTTGAAACCTAGGCTTTTATACTTTTTTTAATCTCAAATTAAGCTATCAGTTTAGTTAAGGGACTTCCTTATCTTTATTAATTCAATTCAACCACATTGACTGTCGGAAAATACAATTTGTTGACTTCGTTTGTTAGCGATATAGATTTATTCGAGATACATATTGTCTCATATAGTACGCGGTAAATTGGTGAGTAGTGATAAATGAGTTATGCAATAAGCAAACAATACGATCAACTAAAAAATTCCTTGTCGTTGCCTTCGATAATAGTTGACTGTCACTTTATTGATAGGTTGCATAATGATTGAGATATAAGAGTTCGTCCTTCCTTGAGCTGGAGTATGGTACAGGGCATGGATTCCAATGCGAAGAGAACGTTGTAGTACGTTTGATTTTAAAAAGTGACTGTGTAGGATTTTTCCACACGTATATGTCTAGGATTAGAGGAAAAGCTTTTGCAAGCTCCACCGGGATTATCATGGAGATATGGCTGCCTCTTGGTACGGTTTATTGTGCAGCCACGAAAGATACTGAGTTGTTTCTGTGATATTTCTAGCATTGTTAGCTTATATTCTCCTCATTGCCTTAATTTTACTTTAGAGGATTTCATCATCCATATCTGATAGATATCGTAAAAATTTTATTTAAACATAACTTCGACTTCGGTAATCCGACATGCATGCGACAAAGTCACTTGGCCATGATTGTTTTAACATGAGTATTTCGGAATTTGAGCATTTAGATACATGTTTTTTTGGTCTATCTCAGCCTATTTCTCATCAGCAATTTCATTGAACTCTTAAATTTAACTATTCAAATATTTATTTGGCTGCTCTGTATTCTGTATATTTTCTGTCTTCATTGATTTGATTATTTCGGTATTATATGTATTATAGCCAACTCCTGTCCGCCATTCTTCTTTGAGGCGACGAGTGAGGACAGAGCATTGCCTAGTCCGCCAATCAATTTCGCGTATTTCACTGGTTGTGCTTATATGCTGAATACGAGTGAAGGTCGCAGTATAAAACTGAGTCTAAAATCGCTCGCTTCTAGGGTCAAATTTATCGTTTATGAAACAGAAAACTACCAAGTTCCAACGGGTCACACTATTTCTCCATTATCTGAGTAAGTATGATTAATTGGAAAACACTTTTGAACAAATAAAAACCTACTCTTTTTTGATTAGTGTAGAAAGTGATCTGAATGCTAGCAAATTTTCTGAATAACTGTCTGGCTGTCATCCGGATAACTTTTTGGTTGTCCCACAGGAACGTTGGATTGATGGATTCGTTCCCGAAAGAAATAATATCGCGGAGCAGTTCCATATTGATACGGGTAACAGAAGTGCAACGGGAATTGTTTCCGGCTAGAGCACGTGGCAAATTCTTATTTGAAGCTCAGTTCAGTCGCACTGACAGCCGTAAGTTTTGATTTCATCGAAAATTAGCTTTATATGAAGTAATTTTGTTGCTTCCAAACTAATTAGCCTGGTTTTTTCTCAGTGACTTGTACTATTTCTTTTATACCCATACACTGTGAAAACTGTGAATTATTATTTAACAATCAAAAGAAATAAAAGTGATTATTATTCAGCATGCAAATGTTTCCCGAAGAGTTGTACTATTCGAATTGATCGTCCAACAATACTATCCTCTCCCGGGTTCCCTGTTGAATACTGTGATAAATTGGATTGTGAAATAGAGCTTCAGCTTGACCAATATGCTATCGATTCAACCCATCATAATGCAATAATCATAGAAATTCATGCTTTCAATCTAGAACACGGTTCCGATTTCGTGCACTTCTTGGACAGATCGAAGCATTCATCCAGACATTTGATAAGGTACAGTGCAAAGCGATTCGCGAACCACTCACTGATAAGCCATTTTTAATATCATAAATACTTGCATATTTTCATCACTTGAACAAGCCTTTAATTAGCGTTAATGCTTTCTGCCTAAAATGCGTTTTTTTACCTATCCATTCCATGATATCAGTGACGGTATGAGAAGAAAAGAGAAAAGTTGCAAATAGTTGGCTGCTTTGTCAGCACCTGTCATTTCTATCCACTCATGTTTTACCCTGTTTCTTGAATTCCTGCGGGTTCATGTTGAGGATTCATGGGCTGCTTTGCTTTTTTTCACTCTTATAAACCATATTTAAATGCTGTGAAGGCTGGAATTCTATTAGTAATGCAAGAAAATTGCAAATACAATAAATAAATTGAAGCTTGAATAAATGTTGCAGTCGCACTGGTGAATTATCAACAAGTCGTAACAAATTTTTCACATTCTGCGGGGAAAGTGCCGTGCTACGAATGATTACTGATTCAACGGTCACAAATAATGGCTTTAATATGACTATTAGCGCCATCCAAAAGAAAGACGGTAATTATAATTCCTTGTTAAATTATTTAACTTTAATAAAGTTTTCGTTCTATCAGCGATTTGCAAAGAAAATAACAAATAGAGACACGAAAAAAGCAGGCAAATAAAAAATGAATCATAATATTAATTCAGTTGACATTAAAATAGTTCGTTAAAAGAGACATTCAATGATGTAAAGACACATCTTGTGTGAAAAGTGTCTTTTCAGACACATCTTGTTTCAAAGACACATCTTGTGTGAAATTGCCTAAAATTTAAGATTGTCGATGTAAGGGTGAAGCACAACCATTGGAATTTTCATCATCAGCAGGAAAGTTTTCATTTATTTCACCTGTGGATTGTGGCTTCCTCGACTGCTTCTTCCAGTTTAACCGTCCTATAACTGTAAGTTTCAATCTATCAGATAAAAGCCGTTGACAAATGCTCAACAATGAAATGCAATTAAAAGTGTTCAACAGTAAGACAAATGATTAATTTGAGCTAAATATTTATTGAAAGTTTGACAGAATGTTTGAAGTACTTCCAATGATAAAACTGTGCGCTAATAGCTTCACAAATATTGAAGGCTTTGGATACGGATCGCATACGACTGGTAGTAAATGTAACTTACACTTTTAAGAATGGGGAAGAAGAATTTTTGGAGGTGTTGACAAGCATCAATAATTACAATATCATCCCGTCACATCTCAATGAACGAGACATTACTGTGTATGCTTACATATAAATTTTTCAAAATATGCTTTGAGTAGGAACGCAACCCTAAGTTTCAATTTCATTTGCCCAGTTCGTCACATGTTGGATTAGGATCAAATATCTGTGAAACAGTCATCCATATCCATTCTACTTCCACAATGTTTATATTTCCATCCCTGATTACTATTTTTGATGCTGAAAGCGATGCACTGAACAATACCACAAACATTATTGAAGAGAACAATACATATGGAATCTGACTGATTTATTTAGCATATGTATATAATGGGAGACCAGATATTAATGTAATTAAAATGAAAGAATAAATGGAAAGTATGTAGAGATGACGAAACATCAGGATTAGGAATTTGAAATTCAGCGTTAGAAGAGAAAGTAGAAACGATAATTGTTGTATGTAGTGGGAATACTTTGGCACAATATCAAGAAAATCAGAGAATCTGGAAATGATCTAAATTTAGGTGAATAACTGGAAAGCATTGGTAGACAGGCTTGTTTCCAAAAATAACTTACTGTTTGTTTCATAACAAATGGGTTATGAGTGTTCACATTCCTAGAATTGCAATATTTTGAATCAAAATTTATAGTAAGCCGTACAATCATTCATATAAAAATTACAACAATTTGTGAATGATAATAATAATAATAATAATAATAATAATAATAATAATAATAATAACAATAATAATAATAATAATAATAATAAT